TATTAGATCTGATATACTCACATAAATGCACACTCTTCCAGAAAAACAATTTACATAAAAAAACGCTTTTCTGAAAAGCGGACAGATCTTCCCTCAGTGCAAATGTATTCTGTTCGCATTGTCGTCGCCGGGTGAAAACAAGCGCAAAATCGATTGTAAAAGTCCGCTTGGGCAGAAGGCTGTGTTGCTGTATAATATAAAAACATAGGAAAACAAAACAAAACAAAACAGAACAGAAAAATCTGATTGTATATCCCTGGGTGCTCCTATCTCCACACCAGCGTATTTTTTGCAACCTATTAGCATCATTTCGTCCATCGAGCTCCATTAATTGCATTTGAATGAAAACTTGGGCTGAAGAATAAGGTTTTGGAGAGGCCTGTCAGATACTTGGTACTCTTGGGAGGACCTTTAACCTTCTTAACGGTGGGTATGCTCTGCTTAAGGAGTGCTTTCTAGGCAGCTCGGGAGCTGGGACAAGCACCTGCCTGCTCTGCCACAAAATGGTTGACAGCATAATCGGTGAACATGGCTTTATATGAAACATTTTCCAAGGACGCCCCAATTAAAGAAGTTAAAAAGAGGAAGAAATGTTGCTGCGATGCAGTAAAAATAGATTAGATGGTTATGATGACTAAACAGTGAAAACACATATTAGAAGCCAAAGCGAGTGTGGATTGATTCCTCTTCACAACCCGCGATGTCTACACGAAAATAAAGGATAATCATACGGTGGTCAAAATGATAGCACTGGCCGGTACAGATGAAAAACAATGCGTCTGCAGGACAGAAGACACAATGCAAGGTAAAATGAAATGGTCCGATGTTCTTTGCATATAATTGATTATTCCTCGTTGATTTCCAGAAGCACTGGTGAATAAAGGGGATCTGGTCACCAATGTTTAAATTCGAAAGGAATTGAATCCTGATTTTAGCATAATATCCTTTAATCTAGCTTGGTAAGAAAATAAATCCATAAACAATAATAAGCATCCAGATAGGCTGAAATGTGCATAATAAACATATTATTTCGTTTAATGCATAAAGATTTTCTTCTCTTAGAGTAAAGAAACGGGAAACTAAGCGTTAGCTAAGCAGCTAAGGCCGAGGCTGTGCATTGTAGAGCGAGTCCTTCAGTCTTAAACATAGTGGCATAAAATTGTAATGAATTCCAGGATTAGTTTTTAAATTTCAATCTACACAACTTTGTTATTTTTCACACTGTTTAGAATGAATTCTGATCATTTACAAAGGAAATATACCAACATTTTGCTATATTGACATGCATTACATGAATGTTGTTTGCTTAAATTTGTGAAATGTAGTGTTTATGAATTGCAAAAATGATTAAACTCAGAAACTCAAATATAGCGCTACAAATGGAGCCTCGCGCTGAGCCCGGCTTTACAGCTCACACCGCGCTGTGTGTAAAACGTTCAGATACATGGCACCATTTAACCCGATATAGCAGCAAATGCTCCACAAGCTATTTACATTAAGGCGCTTAATAAGATAAATGCGCTTCGGCCAAGCCGGCAACTTTAGCGCTGGCCCAACGGGCCCTGGCCTCCTACTGCTTTCTTGCAATTACAAAGGTAACGGATTTGATATGATGATCGTAATTTATGTAAATTGTCCTCTAAATTAACAAAACAAAGAGGTCTGCGTGTTGGCTGTGGATCTTTGGTTCCGGATCCTCGTTGCACTTGGCACAAATTGTAGGCGACTCCTTGAACGCGTCTTGGTGCATCAGCTGCACTGGTTGTGTAATTTGAAAACAAAGAACAAGTCTTGAGTTAGAAGTTGTGGCTGTTTATTCGTGGGCGTTTCGCTTATTGTGGAGGAAGAAGCTCGCTCGAGTCACGGATAACGCACTGTTGAGCGACCTGACCTCTACCTCAGAGTAACCAATGTACTTAGTGTCATATTCTCTGTATAATGAGCCAGTCTGCCCACAGTATGTTCGATCTGCCCAAACAAAATACGGTGTTTTTCCAGACTGTCTGATATTTACGTTCTTTTAAAATGTAACTACTGTTTAGTATGTCACAGATAAGGCCAGTCCACCACAAGGAGCCCATTTTGCTCTTTCTGAACATTTTCCCGCTGCTGGATCTTTGAGATGGTGGGTCAGGACCCCAGCTCTCACTCCAAGCGCTCTTGCCCCTCACTGACCCCCACAACCTCGCGCTCTGCTGGTTAAGCCCGCGCGCCTTCGTGTGCCCGGCACTCTAGTGGGCACAGTGCCGCGCACCAGACTTTTCTTCTAAATGGGACTTTTTTCCTTCTTTCTTTTTTTTTAAGTGTGTCAGAATTACACCGTGACTCTTCATACATCTAGTATCAGAGACTAAGTGCATCTTAGGTATAAAGAAAAACGAGCGTATTTGACGAATGCGACACCAACGGTTTTCATTCTGATGGCTGGCCAATGGCGCTTAACATTTTCTGCTGCCTTTGTCAAGCGTGGAAGTAAAAGAAAGGCTTGAGGCGGTCACACAATATCTTGATAGCCACCTCAAGGTCAAGCATAAACGCCTCTCTCAGGAATTGTACGGCCTATCCATATAGTGCCATCAGTCACTTCACTGAACTGGTGCGTATATCTGTCCGGCATGTTAAACAATGTTGCCATTGACCGACGTAACTGTTTATTGGCTACATTTAATGTTTAACGCACACTGGGGGAGACAGTGAATATGGCCCGCGTACATAACTGTATTAATATTTAATGGAGTTGACGAGGGCAGTTACTTCCTCTCTCATTTAGCTTTAGAGTCAGACGCAGCAAAGACTTCATTTATGTGACCAAAAATCATCTGCACACACTTCAAAATAGCAAATTCACGTTTGTCGTGCATTTACCGACTTTATCAGATCCCATCACATCTTCACACCTTCATCCTAAACACTAAGTTTGTGCTTCCATTGCACGTACGCCATTGCGCGCGCGCCCACCCACACACACATACTTTGACACACACACACTCACATTAACGCATACAAGCATACATGTACGCGCGCGCACACACACTTACAGAGGTATTCATTCGTGAACTGTCAAGCATGCTTAAATCCAAAGTATTCGCTACCGGTAGCTGTGATTCATATATATTATGTTATATATGTGCACATGACAAACCGTCTGTACCTCTGAAAACGTGGTCCGCTGCGTCCCAGTCCTGTCTGCATTTGTTTATTCTGGTGCTCAGCTCCTTCATGACGCGCGGCTCAGGCACAGGAGGTTTTTAGTAAGATGAACTGTTACACTTGAAGTCCTGAGCGGTGAAGCAGCTTCTCCTGGAGCAGAGTGAGTGAGGCTCGCTGGCCCGCGGTCATGCTCTCTGCCTTAATATTCCACAAGGTTGAGTGGCCCGGCTCATTTACCTAATGGTCGAGACGCACAGATCCCAGCCAAGTTTCTGGGAGCAACCAAGCAGCGTAAACGCAGTCAGAGACAGGGCTGGCTGATACCATCATTTAGGACATAAACAAAGCTCATCGGATATCCATCAGCCATCGAGGTGTGTTGGAAGTGTGTTAGTAAGCCAGGATGATATTAAAGAATTCTTGGTGCTTGTAGTAAAGTGTGCAGGGACCTTTCACTGACCTTTCACCTGCCGGCTTTTGTTTGGCAAAGTGCTGATTTTGATGCATTTGATTTGACCTATATTACGATATGGTACAACTAAGCATGAGAGTAAAATGCATTACGTGTGTTGTGCAAAAAATAGCCCACTGTTGAATATGCGACCGTGTAAGAACATGCTAGGCCTGATATTCACTTCCTCAGAAATTTGAAAAATTGTTCGTGTTATGGACAATTTTTATCGTATGTCTGAACATTTAAAATCAAATTTAGCAAATATACTTTAAAAAATGTCGCTGAGGTAAGCGCTGTCCAGTACTAATACTAATCAGTTTCAATCTTTGTAGCATTATATTTATAAATCTTAATCCAAAAGAATTTGGGAAAAACAGATTAAATATGTCGTTTGTAGGTTCAGCTTTAGGTCTAATAGCTTTACTGATATTGGCCCTTGCACAAACAGGTCTTGCGTAAAAGTCTGTTGAGTGCTTTCAAGTTTTAACTATTCGTAGTCAGGCTAAAAAAAGCTTATTTTCTCATTTGATTAATTTTTAGGCAAATTTAGGAAATAATATCTAGATTTGAGCTTGTATTATAACTTATCTGTGAAGTTTTTCCCTGTATTAATGTTTGTTTTTTATGCGTTACTTTACATATTATAGCAGCAACATTAATAACAGCAATTAAAACACAGGCCGATCTTATCAGCCTAATAACAAAACGCCGACATTAATTTATTATAGACAATTACAGGCTAGTAATGTCAGCAATGTATTACAATATATTTCATATTTAATTCTTAAAGCAGGCAAACGGTGTAATGAAGAATCTGGCAGCCTACCGCATTGCAATGCTGGAAATGCAAGAAAAAAACTTCAACTTCTCAGAAATCCATGACGTTTTTGTTTTTCATTTTTACTCCCCTCTAGAAGTCAGTCGTTTTCAGAATGCATTTGCATGATCCATCCACAATAATGACAGCGGGAAAAAAGCACACAAGACAAGGCTTTAAGATAAAAAGGTGTACATTGCTCACCGGTGGTCTTTGCAACGATCTCTCTATTAGATACGTGATGCCTGTGCTTAGTTGGAACATGAGGAAATGAACAGAAAGTGGTCTTACATATATAAGATTTCTAATGTCACTTTTCTGTGGTCAGGATTTTTTTTTTTTACCTTGAGCTAATTTGGAAGAGCCCCTCTCTGGTGGCGCAAAATGATGCTCAAGACGCATAAATTAGGTCATGCCGTGGAGGGGGCCTTCATTGTGCCTCTTTGACGGTGCTTGCTGGCGCTTATGTCTCGTCAAAGTGCTCTCAAACTTGGGGAAAAGTATGGAAGTCCCTATTGACGCAGAGCAACAGAGCATGGAAAAAGAGAGAGAGAGAGAGAGAGAGAGAGAGAGAAAAAAAAAGTCGCGCTGGACGGGATGAAAACAGTGGCTCAAAGAAGGGAACCCTCATTTAAATGATGCTACTACCAATGTAGAGTTTAAAAAAATGGGAATTGTGGGAAGGGAAAAGGTTTCAGTTGGCACCATGCTTAAGTTAATATGAAACTAACAGCATTTTTTCTCAATTATCTTGCTGAGATGTCAATGACTATTGTTTGGCGGTCCTGGACGTCGCTCCGCCCCTCCTGTTTGTCGTAAACCTGGCGCCTAGCTACAATAAACCCGAGCTAAAGAGTGGCCAGGGCTCGCCTCCTCCTCGAAGGCGATCAATCGGATCTCAGGCACACCACAAGCACTCTCTTACGTCGACGTTGCACGAGAACGGCGCTGATTACAACAACACGGCTGAAGCCGCTCCACCAAACATCCACCTGCTCTCTGAACCATGTCGCTGAGCCCAAAGCACACGACACCTTTCTCAGTGACAGACATTTTGAGCCCAATCGAAGAGACGTACAAGAAGTTTGGTGGCATGGAGAGCACGGGGAACCTCGCCTCTCCGCTGGGAGCGTACCGGCAGCCTCAGGTGTCCCAGACGGGCATGCAGCAGCACTCCATGGGCCACAACGCCACGGTGGCCAGCACCTACCACATGCCACACTCCGTCTCCCAGTTCTCGCACGGCGCTATGGGGGGCTACTGCAATGGCAGCATTGCCAACATGGGGGATTTACCCTCTTACCAAGAAACTATAAGAAACAGTGCTGCAGCAACAGGGTGGTACGGCGCCAACCCCGACCCAAGATATTCAACAAGTAAGTTGCTTTTTTAAAGTCTTCTTTGGAAACGTAGCTCTTATGGCTTTTCGTGTATTTTACAACGGAACTGCAATTTCAACTAATGGATGAGTTTTACGCAGCAACAAATATGACCTAGATATGTGCAGAAATTCTGCCTTATTTACATTATGCCTGGTATCATACTGCCTCTGCCATTAATGACATTTATTAATACATTAATGAAGCTAATTTCTCAAATATGGCTGCGCAAACGCCGCCTTTCCAAAAGCAATGTGCATGTAAACAGGTCGCCTTTATTCGTGGTGCCGCTGCTGATTGAAAGGCCGTGCGTGTTTTATGTATATTTTTTTAAGTTTCTAGATTCATGGGACCTTCCACAGGTATGAACATGACGGGGATGGGCACGCTGAGCGGCATGGCGGACGCTTCCAAAGCCATGACCCCCCTGCACGCCGCCCCGAGGAGGAAAAGGCGCGTGCTCTTCTCCCAAGCGCAGGTCTACGAGCTCGAGCGGAGATTTAAGCAGCAGAAATACCTGTCGGCGCCCGAGAGAGAGCACCTGGCCAGCATGATCCACCTGACCCCTACGCAGGTCAAGATCTGGTTCCAGAACCACCGCTACAAGATGAAGCGGCAGGCCAAGGACAAAGCGGCGCAGCAGCTGCAGCAGGACGGCGGCCTGTGCCAGCAGCAGCAGTCGCCCAGGAGGGTGGCTGTGCCCGTGCTGGTGAAGGACGGCAAGCCGTGTCAGAACGGCTCCAACACACCGACGCCCACCCAACAGCAGATGCAGCAGCAGCAGCAACAGCATCAGCAGCAGAACGGTTCTGGGGTCGTGCTTCCTGCTACGAGTAACGCTATAAACCAGCACCAGAATCAGCAGGTCAGCGCGCTCGTGCAGGCCCAAGACCTCGAGGAAATGTCACCAAGTCCTCCATCCCTCCATTCTTCACTGAGCAACATGGGACAGATAGACACTTCCGTAGATTACACCAACAACATGGTCACGTCAAACCTGCTTTATGGCAGGACGTGGTAGGACGGGTCATCGTTTAAAAACTTTTTGTTGTTTGTTGTTGTTGTTTTTTATACAAACACGTACTCTAACACTCTGAACTGCAATTGAAGCCAAATGCAGACGAGCTGTGAGAATGTGGAGCGAGTGGACGGATAAAACGAGGCTTTTAAGGCGAGCCATGTGCGCCACCTGTTCTTTTTCGAGGGCACGATTATCACTATATTTTTTTTTTCTACAAGATACCCCTTCTGGCTGTGAAGGACACGCTGTTCCTAGCCTTATTCTGTGCTTTTTGGACTTCCCCTTATTGTTGTAGTAGAAGGTTATCTGTTGTTGAACAAGGTCGCTGCTCCTCATCCATGGTAAAGGCAGGGAACGGGATGCTGGGATATCAGGTACGAACTTAAGAACCACGGAAAATCCTCAAGAGGCCCGATCCGACAACGACCCCCACCCCCGCAACGAACACCTGAACTTTTCTTTTTTTTAATGATATGACTATTGTAAGCTAATGTATCCATTTAGATTAATGAAAAGTAGGGACTGTATATTTGGCTAACACTTGAGTTTCTGTTTTACCTGTAATATAAATGTCTTTTTTTGTTGTTTATTTTATTTCATTTTTTTGTAAGTTAAGACAAAACACATACACGATGGCTGCTGTATATGTTTCAAACCAATTGAACGTTAACAATAAATGAATTGAAGTGCAAGCCCATTCTCCGGGAATTAATTTGGAGTGCGTTTTCATTAGGCCTTATGCTACGGCTTCAAAACAAATGGAAGGGAAAGCAAGGTCGATGGAGGTGAAGTTAACATTGGCAAATGATGAATTTTAAGAGCTAGCAGAAGAAGCACATGTGGCTGGTAGTGCAGGTTAGGTTGCTTTACAAATTCTGAGGACGTACTTTAGAGAAATGATGTCAGTCGCAGCTCGCATTTCTCTGGGTTTTTATGAATCGTCTACAAAAAATAAATACATGAAAAAAGGTAATAATAATAATTTCACTAAAAAATCAAAGATAGAACAATAAAAATTAAAAAACAACTGCTCAATTTTCCAAAACGTAGAAAATAAAAGTGATTCATTTATACAAGACTTTTTAAATTATGCTGTATTAATTACATTTATAGTTATTAATTCTTTGCTATTTTCTTGTTTCATTTTTTTCAAATTTAAAGAGGATGTTTTTATGTATTAGAATGAAAAAATCAGATTCATTAATTAGGATCAAAATTTTACCTAGGCACAGATGTTACTTCATTAAATTAAAAAAGAAAGATAGAAAAATAAAATAAAATATTACAAAGAAAAGAAAGAGCACAAGCCACAAATATATAAAATTGACCGATTTCTGTTTGAAATTTTGGAAAATATTGAAAAATCCTAGCTTGACGGTTTTCCATTTATTAAACATCATACAATATTATTCTGTTTTATTTCTACTTTTAATTTATTTTTAAATGTTGTTAATACATTCCTTCAAGCGCCTGTTTTCTGACATAGCGTTAATTTTTTCCTCTTAATCTTTCCATATTAAAAAGATTATGATAAAACAGAGGATTCTATGCGGGGATGACAGAAACAATATTACACGAAAAGAAATGTTTGGTTTATTACATCCCATTTGTTTCATTATTCTCGGCTGTGTTCTCACATGTGCTCAGTTTAATTTATCATTTAGAGCGATTCAAAAGTTCAGTGGAAATTGCCGAAGAATGAGCCTCTGCTCTGTAGCCCGCTGTGTAGAGGCATGCTCAGCTATTAAGCCTCAAACTGCCAAACCACTTCCATGCAAACGACTCATAACAGTAGTCTGTCCACTTCACGTGGTCAATAAAACTACTGCACAGCTTCTGTGTACGAAGGGAGTCTATCAAAGGCAGCAACATTTGAGAAAAGGCTCCTCAGCCAAAAGGCCTGCTGGCTCTCTTTTACTGAATGGGCGCTCTGCAGCTGGAGAATTGCGATTGTTCTAACTCAGTCCAAAACTACGCGCAAATGCGCTCAAGATCAAGGGGCTTGTATAATTTTTCAGACATGCATGGAGTTAAAATGGAGTGATGACATGAAGTGACTAGCAAGCTCACCTCTTTGCTCTATCTTAGCTGTATAAAATGGGCTAAAAAATTAAATGATCTCTCTTCAAATGTTGTCTGTGAAGGCTGTAAGTGGGCGTATGGGAAGCCTTATGTTTCCAACAATTATTAGACATCATGGCAACTTCCAGCAAGGCTTGTTTTGTGCAACTATTGACCAGAACCAACCGAATGCTGCTCATTTTAGTTACATTGAAGGCCATTCAGAATTGGTAGTGAAGCCTAACCACTTTTAAGGTGTGTTATGAAGAGACAGGTCAATCGCAGCAATAACTTCATATCTAGCAGGCAAATTCAGTGTTTTTGAGAATGATTAGCTGCCATTAGAAATTTATTTCAGGCCTTGAGCACCTATCTTTCTCCTGATGGAAAACAAACCTTGAGTCCAGTCACTGTTACACAAGGTCATGTGATCATTATCAGGTAGCTGCTGTCTGATAATGGCCGTCGAAAAGCATGCTTTAACCTGTTGCCAACTGATTATGATATTGCTTTAAGTGGCATTTGGAAGATTGAATGCATCTGCAAATTGCATCCAAATAACATGGTACTGGAGGCAGTAGCTGCATTTAAATGACACATTATGACCTTGTTCTGGCCTCATTATTCTGAGTCTTTAGCATTATGCAGCAAGCACTCTTGAAGTTCTCAAATCTGTGACAGTTCTTGTAGCATAACATATAGAACATCTCTGTTTTGAAATTGGCACCAAAATGTTGAATTATGTCATCTTTTTCTTTTCAGGGTTCTTATTTTACTGCCCAAAATATTATTACTACTCATATTGATAAACACATTGCAAACATGATAACGAAAACATAAAGTTCTTTTTATTGTACTCAGAATTAATTTGCAACTATGTAATTGCTAAGCATCCAACTATGTAACATGAAGCTATTATTATTGTTATTGGTGTTCCATATGAATATACCTGTTAAACATTAATTGTATTAAATTGTTTGCAATATTTCAGCATATAGTAACTTATAGGTTCATGGTGCTGCCTAGAGCTTGAATGTGTATAAATTCATCCAGCTGGTCTTCTCAGTCACTATCCATTTACACCACACATGTTTGCAGCCTGGAGAGGTGCTCAGCCATGTTTCAGCAGAGGTGTCAAAATTTCATCTCACGCCTCAGTTTTACCACCACAATCCTACTGCAAGCTTGCAAGCATTTTTTCCCACTTTCCAGCTATTCAGCACTTGGAAAACACAAACATAAAGGTTCAAAGAGATTTCGGTATTTCTACTCTCCATTTCTACTCTGCCCTGGATTTCTTGGAGCTTCATTCTTTGCTGCTAATTGCAGAATCCAAACGAATTCTTAACAGAGAGTAATTTGAATCCAGGCTAGAGGCCTTGTCTGTATTTTTCCCTGCCATTATTCTACTTAATATGTCAGAAGGTCTGATCGCAGAGAAACCTTTTCAAGTTCTATTGATGTGTCTTTCAATTGACCATGGTGACCTAGCAACCTGGCCAGCACTAATTGGAATAGGCTGCCTGACGTCAGCATTACAGTTTTTGTGGGAACAAATGCAGCGCTCATGAAATAATTTACAAAATTATAAGGACAATGGTTCCAGATTATATCTAGGCAAAACAATGTGTAGTCCTACAGGGGAGAAAAAGAAAAGCATATTTTTCCATTTATTAAATATAGCACTCAGACAATGAATGCTATAGGTTTCACTGGAGCCTGGAATATCAATAGTCAGAAAAATACTCTTATGAAAAGAGGTGCTGATAGTAGCAGGAATGGGGTCATTGATTCAGTTCATTGTACACTGTGGTTTGCAAATTAGAGATTTTTTTTTCTTTTTCTCTCTGAACTAAATCAGCCATACATTAAAACTGTATCACCTGCTTGGACGAAGCTGTCAGTATACACTATGTAAATCTTTTTGAGGCATTTTATGGACATGGTTTTGCATTTCGCTAGTCATTTTTCTTTTTTTTTCCTTTCTTTTTTTTAATTATAAAATCACTGAAACCCTTTGGCATGCTTTGGATTTTTTTTAAAGAGAAAGAGAGCAAGCATGAAGCTCCCCGCCCCCACTAGCACACTGAGGCAGGCTGGAGGCTGTGGGTCCCCAAACACAAGAGCCACTTCTGTTACGACCAATTCAGGAGGTCTGAAAATAGTTCATTTCAGTCCTTGGGATACACGCTTGAGAACATGTAAAATTTAGTGCTTCTTTAGGTCATTTTTTAACCACCATATAATAACTGAACCCCAACAGTTGAGTAGTCAAAATTAGTTTCCTTGGGTCAGTATTCTTCCCATGTTGGTTTCAGTCTGATTTTCTTCAGAAACCTTGCCAAACAGGGTCTTACCATGGTGCCTTCTCATTAACAATTGGGAAGCATGCCTTGCTTTTGAGAGCACTGTAGCCAAAAATGGCTTGGCAAGGTTTAATACGGAATGAGTCAGTTATCTATTCTAAATCATGTATGACATTGGAGCAGTCGCTGGGTTTTTACAGGTTGAGTTAATGCAGTTCTTTTGTCATGTGGCTATGAGAAACCCTCGGCTTTTGTGAGATCAGATGAGATTGTGCCCTAGGAAGCACAAACTTTCCTAATTCTAGTCATTTCAAACTGGGGAAAAATAGCAGGCAAATAATCATCCTCAGGCAGAATGGAAAACATTTCAAGGAGGTCAGAGGACTCCGAAAGCAATCCTCACTCTAATAGATTTCCATAAAATTAAATAAATGATGGTGCATTCCAACAATGCCTTTGCTGAGAAAAATAGCACCAATGTACAGTCACGAATGCACACACACACCACCGCCACCAAAATGACTTTTCTTGAGCTGTCTAATTCTGCGGCTTGATATGAATACATGAGCATTGTGAAGACAGTTCAGTCCTCTGAAGTCTGCCCTGCTTTACATCTACAGGAGAGAAAGAGGGAGAGGGAGAGAGAGGGAGAGAGAGAGAGA